TTAAAGACAACTTAGATACTTTTGATAAAATTATTTTACTAATTTTAATCAAAAATTGCAACAAATTTCAATTCATTATACTTCTAATCTAATATAAACAATTACAAAAATTATAACAAAAATTAAAGACAACTTAGATACTTTTGATAAAATTATTTTACTAATTTAAATTATATAAAGTAAATTTTAACCAAAAATTGCAATATTTCAAATCATTATACTTTTTCTTTTTTTAAAAAAAGAATATATATACATATAGGGTATCAAAATACAATTTAACAACCTTGTTTAATAGCGTTTCATCATGTTTTTACCGCAACGTTAACACGACTTGTACAAAATAAGCACGAGGAAAAGTGACAGTGAACGAGGAAGCACACTTTGGTCCGAATGATTACACACGTACAAAGTGAACGTGATCAGATTTCGCTAATCTAGCGCCCCCTCTAGCGGGCTGCTATCTTCTTGCACTGGAATTGATTCGCATTAAGGTGCGCCTCCTATTCGATACAGCCTTCATTTCAATCGATTGGAATGTAGTACAGTTAATGCCCCTTTAGAGATGTAACTGTTATTCGAGTCCGCGTTTACTATAGGATAGTAACAACTGTAAATCTACATTCACGATATTCGTACCGTTAACGAATCGATTGTCTCTCGGCGTACCGAGAAACGCTCCTCTTCTCGAAATTGCAATTGATAATTAAGAATTCTTGATTGATCTTTCTTGGATTGGAAAAATTTAAATATATGAAACTCCCTTGGCAAAATTTGAAGAAAAATTTCGCCGCTTTTATTTCACCGCTCTGTTATTAATTTAATCCATTTTACTGATAATTTTGAATGAGATATTCGAGAAATCGGATGAAATTTGACGATCGATTAGAGAAAATTCGATTTTTAACTATAATAGATACTCTTTCCTGTTTCTCACCATCGATTATCGATTTTATCTTGAACGAAGGGAAATAATTGGAACAAGTTGTTTTCGTTGCGCGAGCGTACATTCGTCTTCGTTGTTTTCAATTCGAAAAACAAGGAAAGATACATAGAATAGAGCGTGACTCAACGGAACTGTTTTCGATTCGTAAGCTATATAAAATATGGATCGTAGAATATGTACGAAAATACTATTTATATAAAAAAAAGGGGGTTTTAACTTTTGAATTTTCATTTTTAATTTGAGAGTAATTATTTTTTTTTTTTTATTAATATTTCTTTTCAACAATTCGTCAATTTTTCATACCGAATAAAAGCAATATTTTATGCACAAACTTTATATTATTATTTCCATAGGACTAGTGATCGAATATTGGCATTATGGATTTTGATATCCACGAGGTTATTTTAAATTTTAAAAGAGAAACGTAAAAAAAAAAAAATTATACTCACTATCAATCATTATTTATTTAAATATTATCTCTTTCTCTTTAAATTTATAAAAAGTTTATTTTCATGAAAAATTCGTGTAATAAATAAAAATTGCATAACACAATGAGCTTGTGCTGTTCATTTTAATAATTTACGAGAATGAATGTTTTCACTTCACGAAAGGTGGTGTAATAAATAATTCTCTTCTAATCTCGGATTAGTATTTGAATCCAAAAAAATCGGTGGTAAGCTTTCCAAACAATTTCAATAATGAATATTACACGAGATTTATTACTTGTCTCTGGTATTTACTCAAACGAAATGTAAAAATGATTGTGTAACCAGGAGAAAAGTTTATCTTAACTACTTATCAAATAATCTGACTTCTGGATTTGCAGTACGAGAAGAAATAACACATACAGGGTGTGCCAAGATTTTTCGATCAAATTTTACATCGAACAAAAATTTTCAAAATTGTTTCTTGTAAAATAATAAAATAGTAAAAATTTCAATCAGATATATGAAATATTATATAATTCGTTCATTAAGATAAGACAAAATTAATAAATTTCATCTCTCTTCTTTTCAATATCATCGAATAAAAATAATTAAGTTAATCGTTATAAATAATTTTTGTATAACCGATATAAATTCCAAATTAAAAAAAAAACACCCTGTATAACTGGGCTGTATAAATCCACCCACGAAATACGTGAGAAGGTAACAAATCAATCGGACAGGGGAACGGTGATCCTGATAGTATATCACACGTTTTCTGCGCTTTCTCGTGATCATTTGTCCACGTACATGTGCGTGGAAAGCAGTGAGCGCAACAAAAGCGATTTACGACCGAGCTCGTAGGTATCAAATGCCTAAGTATAACCTTAGGCCTCGATTCATCCACTTGACTCCTTATTTCAATTTCTTTCAAAAATTTATTCGAATTTGCATATTTTATTATATCTGGAATGAGGATGTGTGAATAAAAATTTGTTACATTAAAATATAATAAAACGTTTTAAACTTTGTACGAACAAACGTTGCTGGTACAATCGATTAAAAAATTATTGAAAAATAAGCAAATATTAATACATTAATTTCAATTACTAACAAATGTTATTTTTTTAAAAATTGACAACAATGCTAATAATAATAATATAAAAAATAGGAGTAGCAATAAAACTTAAATCCTTCTGATGCCACGTATTCCAATATTCGAAAAGAAAACCTCTCTCTTCCGAATTTTTCTTCTATTAACTCATAATTCTTTCTCGTTCGTTACAACTACAGTTTTGTGATCTATAGTTGAACAGAAAGCAAGAGTTAAATTAATCCTGTATCCTCGAAAATGTGTGCAGGAAAATAAAAATCTTCCTCGAAGATCTTCCTCTCTCCTTTTCCTTTAAGATACATTTTATAATTAAGATTTATGTACAACAACAATGTTATTCGCACACAGGCTTTAACGGTACGTACATCCACATTCATATAAACAATTTTACTTTCACACGTACACATCGATTATCAAATTATCAAACGAAAGAATTAGCATTTAATTAAAAATCAATTTCTTCAAATTCTTCAAAACGATGCCACTTTTTAAAACTCTCACGTGCAATTATATATATATATATATTCGATACAGATGGATATTGGCCACTTAAGAGTCGAGACCGGTTTAAATGGGGAGACGACTTCTGTCTGAATTCAATCGAATGGAAGGGAGCGAAGAAGGTGAAATATCGCGTATAAACTCAGTCAAACGTTCAACAACGTCAACGAACGCGATTCTCCAAGATTCTAAGAATTAAAGGCCCGACGCTTACGTGGGTTAATATCACATCAATTTATCGTAATAATCCGTCCCCCCGTATTTCGAAGAAATACCAGATGCTAATTCTCGCTTAAAAATCAATATTGCACATCTACTGATATAATAATTCTATTTAAAAAACTTATTCAAATTCTTTCTCTTCCAAAAAACATACACACACATACACACACAGTAGAGAGAAATACGAAAAGAAAGAAAGAAAGAATTATATAAATCAACCCTTCGAAAGAGGGGGTAGTTTCCCTCAGATAATAGCATAATTGGTACGTGATCTATGCATGATGAAACGCGAGAGAGCGAGAGAGAGAGAGAGAGAGAGAGAGAGTGCGCGAAACGAGAGAAACGTGTCATGTTTTATTTTATGCACGTGATGTACACGCACACAGGGCCCCAGGGCGAGAAGGGGGAGCTGGGTCCGACGGGACCACCCGGTCTGCCGGGAGAGAAGGGTGCCCGGGGAAAGCAAGGGAAGAGGGTAAGCTTCAGCGAGGTCCTCCGGCGAACGACCACCGACCAAATCGAGACGAAACCTATTCCCCCTCCCCTGTCCCCCTTTTTTTTCTCGAACAACCACACTTCGAAACACACTTTTTCCACATTCGAATATATATATATATATACATACATATATATATATATATATCTGAAAAAGAATATCCTACCTTTCTTTCTTCTCGTCCAAAAGGATGGCCAAAAAACCTCTCTTTTGGCCTCATTTCATCCCTGAAAATTCCTGAATATTCAACGACACTTCTCCCTTCTTTCCTTTCCAGAGAGATTTTTTTTTCTTTTTTTTTAATTGGGAATTTGTGAAATTCCTTTGTGATGCGTAATTTGCACGTAATGAAAAAGAGCATTGTTTAGTAGAGGCGCGGTTGTTGCTTCTTACATTACATTAGCAAGGGCAAGGCGGATATGCATGATACACAACTCTGGTATTGGAACTGGTTAACGTTGATTTCTTGGAATTCGGAGACATTCCTCAACGAATGACAGTTTCAATGACAAATTATTGGATATTATATTTATATATATATATATGTTCTTGCGTGCTGATGGATAATTGGATGGGCAAGCAAGATCGTTGGAAAATATATATATATATATAGTGCGTGATATATATTTGAGAAGTCTATTTTCCGCCAAGTGGTGGTTACTTTATCTTTGCCGGAAGAGATTATTAATAAGTTGTTTCTTTCGAGTGAGTCAGTTAGCTGGAGGAGTGGCAATCGTAAGAGTGTCAAGAGTGTTTTCTATTCTCAAATGTGTTTTGTTGCAATTGTAGAATGCAAAAACGACACTGATGAGTGGGTCCATAAATAAATAAATAAAAGTTGATCCAGTCGAAAATGAGGCTTGCGTATCAAGTGATTTAAGATTTATGTTGGATGAAACAGGATGTAGATGGAGCCTCTAACGTAAATCGTTATAATTTGATAAATAAGCTTCGATTGACATTTTTATTTTGAGAGGAATCGACATATCTTTAGATATATATTATAGAAAGTAAAAAGAAGATATTCACTCGATTTTTTTGTACACTTTGTATTAAAAATAAAAACTATTTTTGGACACTCAATTAGTGTCGATTGAAGAAATATTTCTTTTCCAAGTGGATAATGACTTTTACACTTAATTCACACTAATCAAAAATGTAATTAAAATGAAAATAATAGAAAAATCTCGAAACTTATCCAAAATCGAATTATTCTCAAATATATTTACGCAAATTCAATTATTGTCTCTCAAGCTAAATTATATCTATCTTTGATTTTTCCCTTTTCTCTTATTTCATTATAAAATTCAATACAATTGAATACAACAATTCAGAACAAATCTTTCTTTTCTTTTTCCTTTTGAGAACAAAACAAATTTAAAAGATCTATTAATGTCTAGATTCCGGAAGTGAAATCGATGTTCAAGAGTTCAAGATCCAGATTTAATATTGCTTGCCACCCCGGTTGCGGAATGACGTGACGGTTTATATATTCACGCTTTGAAACACCTGCATGGAAATCACGAAAGAAAGCACATGCATGATCTTATCGAAAGCACGCATGCGAGCATGCCACTACACGTATGGCACAGTACGATCACCTGCCTCTTCTCATTTAATAAACTGAGAAACAAGTAGCCGTTAAATTGCATTGTCGTTCCGACGACGACGACGACGACGATGATGGATGGATACGACGACGTTCTTTTTTTGCGTCGAGACTAATGCGAGCCTTTCACACGGGCGTTTATAATACGTATATTACGAGAAGTTGGAGGAAGGGAGAGAGACGAATTGCTTGACGAATTGACGAATATAAATAGGAAAGAATTTTAATAATAAAAAAGAAAATTTAAAAGGAAATTCTCGAAACAATTTTTCTTCTTCAAGCGGAGAGAAAATTTGTTTTACAAGAATGAAGGAAATCCTTCTTCTTTTCCTTCGAAACTTCACATATATACACAAATATAAAATTCTTCATATATTTTGTCTTAACGCACAAACGGATTTTCGACTCGATCCCGAAGTCATCGTCCAAAACTTGACGCGTGACTTAATTTAACCGCAAAAAAAAGAGAATCACTGTGCTCTCGGTTGCCGAGAAAAAGGAAAAAGCAAATGAAAAAAAAGAAAAAGAAAAAGTAGAAAACGTTGGTGGCAGCAAATAACACGTACAACTCGAAATACAATATAAATTTAAACACCTCCTCGAGCCGCTACTATTTGCGTCACAGAAGAGATTCATTAAATCGCGATAAAAAAAAAAGAAAGAAAAGGGATGTCTTCCTCGCAGTAAGGAACCGAAAATCGAAAATGTACTCTCTTCTGACGATGGATGTGACCAAATTACACACACCTGCGCACTAAAAACAAAGAAAGAAAGAAAGAAAAGATTTCTAACCACGGCTTACAGAAAAGATAACAATTAACTCGACTCCATCCATCCTTTGTGCTCTCTCAACTTATTGTTCTTTACTTTTTAAGGTTTGAAACCGTAAGTATGCTCGCATATTTATCAAATCGACGGATATCTCGAAGGATAGGAAAAAAAAGAAAAAGAAAAAGAATGATCGTTTCGAATCGTTAATTAAGTCACCTGGTTCGCGGTCGAGTGGAACGCCGATAAAATCACCGTGCACCACCTCTCTAGTTTCTGTATCTGTATCGAATGTATCATATCGACGGAACGAGTCGCAATCGATATTCTGGTAATGCACGATCCTCGAATAGCGAGGAGAAGGTTCGAGAAAGTCGCGACAGAAAGGGTAT